CTGGCACTATAGAATCCCTTTAATGTTTGGGGGCATGTAACATATTCCAACTATTAATGGATATCCCCTGCTTCCTTCCATGCATATTTCTACCCATAAGGCTTCCACATCCTCACTTGTATCATCTCACACACAATTTAGTTAACACTTGGCTTCAAATCAGTTTTAATATAAAGACACACTCCACCCATTTTCTATTTTTTCTATCCTTCCTGAATAATGTATATCTATTTAAATGAATAGCCCTACCAAGTGTTTCATCCCACCAAGTCTCAGTAATGTCATGCTGCTCCCTGTGTGCCAATATTTCAAGCTCCCCTGTTTTCTTACACAATTTTTTTATTTTCTTTGACTTTATTTGAACAACATGTATTTAATACCTTCTTGCTCTGTCTGCTAATGCTACCACTCCCCCCATCTTCACCTGCAGTATCTGAATTCAATCTCCTCTCTATGGTATCTACCACATTTATTGTTCTTTGAACCCCTCCCCTCCTAGTTTACAGCTTTCTCCAATATTCTCAACATCCTCTCTTCCAGCACAAAAGACCCTCTTCCACTTAGGTGTAATACATTATGAATAAAGATTGTAGCCAAACAGAAAATTAGCCCAGTGCTCTAAAACCCCCCAAACCTTCCTTCCCACACCACGACCTCCCTAATCTCCTGCTTCCTTTCCACTGTAGCTTGTAGCACAGGCAATATTTCAGAAAATACCACCTTGGGGGTCCTCTTCTTAAAGGAACACTCGAGGATCAGGAATACAAACTTGTATTCCTGACCTTATAGTGTGAAAAACATTATTCAGCCCTTTGCCCCCCATTGTGCCCCTTAAATAGGGGAAAACTCATCTTATTTACATTGGATTGGCTGAGATTGTCCACTCTTTTAAAATATTTTTTATTAAACGTTTTATATTTTTACATCAATATATGCAATACTTTTATATTGAATACATACAAGACAAATTGTGTGTGGCGATACATACATCGAATGCAGGGCCAGATTAAGAGCCCAGTGGGCCTGGTGCTTACAATTATTATGGGGCCTAATTACAGAATCTTATCGACCAAAAACACTAAAACAGTCCTACCTCTCAATCATCATGTATCTGATGTAGTTGGTGTTGGAGAGAAACTCAAAGGATGCAGCTATAAGAAAACACATACTCTATTCTAATCTCTTTATCTAATTTATGCTTTCATCTTTCAAGTAAATCCATACCCCCAAACAGCAGTGTCCAGAGAAGCAGGAAGTCAATGGGTGGGGTAAAAGGGTGGGCCACTGACGCAAATCACGTGACCAGAACTGCCAAAAGGGGCGAACATGCCCAAAAAGGGGGAATGTCTGTCTAAAGAATTGGAAGGCCAGCCTGGCTTCAGTGTCCCTATGTTTCATAGTGTCAGTGTCCCCATGTAGCCCAGTCCCCTAGTCTCCCAGTGTCTTTGTCCCCATTTCTCCCAGTGTCCCCATGTCTCAGTGTTTCCCGTGTCACTAGGATACTAGGGGACACTGAGAGACCGGGACACTGAGAGACCCGGGGACACTGAAACACTTGGGGACATTGGGAGACAAGGGGACACTGGGAGACATGGGGGCACTAGTGGATACAGACATGGGGACACTGGGAGACTTAGAGACACTGGGAGATATGGGGACACTGAGACATTTGGGGACAGTGGGGAAAATGGGGTCACAGACATTTGGGGAAATTAAGACACTAGGGACACTGAGAGACATGGGAACACAGACACTGGGAGACTAGGGGACACTGGGAGACATGGGTACACAAAGACACTAGGGGCACTGGCAAGGAGGCATGGGGACACAGACACTTGGGGACACTGGGAGACATGGGAACACAGACACTGGGAGAGTAGGGGACACTGGGAGACATGGGTACACTGAGACACTAGGGGCACTGGCTGGGAGGCATGGGGACACAGACACTTGGGGACACTTGGAGACATGGGAACACAGACACTGGGAGACTAGAGGACACTGGGAGACATGGGTACACTAAGAAACTAGGGACACTGGCTGGGAGGCATGGGGACACAGACACTTGGGGACACTGGGAGACATGGGGGGACTTGTGGACATAGACATAGGGACACAGGGAGACATGGGAACACAGACAAATGGGGACACTGGGGGACATGGGGACACTAGGGACACAGAGACACGGGGACACAGACATTTGGGGAAACTAAGATACTAGGGACACAGAGACATGGGAACACAGACACTGGGAGACTAGGGGACACTGGGAGCCATGGGTACACTGAGACACTAGGGGCACTGGCTGTGAGGCATGAGGACACAGACACTTGGGGACACTGGGAGACATAGGGGCACTTGTGGACATAGACATAGGGACACTGGGAGACATGGGAACACAGACATTTGGGGATACTGGGAGACAATTTAGAATTTTATGCAGTGAGAATGTATTCACAAATATATGTATTATAATGTACAATTTGTAAAAGAGAATACATGTTCTATTAGCATACTTATACTTATGTTAACTTTTGTTCTAGATTTAGAGATCACACAGCCTATTCGTCGGAATCAAAACACAGACACTAAACCAGACTGCGCTGTTTATGATTCAGGTCCTATCTTTAGTATTCCACAAAAAAAAGAGATCAGACGAGGAAATTGGAAAACCGACAGCACATCTAGCACTGCAAGTAAGTGATACAGTTTTAATTTACTTATTAACTGTAGCTGGATACATTGGAGAGAGTGCAGGTAACTTGTTTTTCTTTGGTTTTTACTATATATATTGGGGCTGATGTGTACTGTAGTCGTTGCTGCGGCCCAGGAGTGATGGGAGTGAGCGCAGGACTTATCTTTCTGTATTTATATTTGATATGTGCCACTATGATCAAAGCCCCAAAATTATGCTCAGCTAAGTCTTCTGAGTAAACTTATACCCCCCAATGAATGTCTTTGGCATTATTTAGTGAAGCTACAGTGCCATATAGGAGACCTGTCCATTTCAGTATTTAAAGTAGAATATTGAGAGACGGATTTGATTAGTCTATGTTTCCATTTGGGGTATTATAGCAGTTTGACTGTTCAAAAAACCCCACAAAGGTCTACCATTTTTTTTTAAAGTAGACACCCTAGGGTATTTCAAGAAGCATATTTTAAACCTTAGCGTAGGATCATTTTTTTGCTAGTTTCTACCAAGTCTAGTAGCAATTAGCATTTCTGCCTTTTTGACACACACTTACTGTATGTTACTGTATGTTTTGCAATCCTTATGTGTGCTATGGCAGTAATATGTTGCTCATCTATGTCGTCTTAGTACAACAATACCCCCATGTGTACCTTTTTCAGGGATATGTGGATGTTGAAGGGGCACATTGGACACCAAGCCATATCAGTTTTTACTAAACTTTGAATTTTGACACTGGGTCCATGTGCAATTTTTGAGCATCTTAGCAGGTTTTGAATTCAAACTACCCCACAAAAGCATACCATTTCTTAAAGTAGACACCCCAGGGTATTTCAAAAGGCATATTTTAAACCTTAGCGTAGGATAATTTTTTTGCTGGATGTTGAAGGGGCACATTTAAGACACACCAATTTCATATTTTTCAAAAGAGGATGCTGGGCCTAAGTCTCATTTTAGCAGCTCATGAATGCAAATTACCTATCAAAGGCCACATCTATTTTTTTAAATACAAGCAGCTCATCAATTAAAATTATGAACAAGTGCATACTATTTGCTGTGAAAGGGGGAATATTTGGTGTAAACTTATTAGGGGGTAGTACACAGTCATCTGCATCATGGGCAACGCTGTCACAGATTCCGGAACCAAAACACACAGACAGACCACAAAGAGAGAGAACACAGAGCAGGGGCGTACCTAGAGCATTTGGCACCCGGGGCGGGTCCTATTTTTGGCACCTCCACCCCCCAACTTTAAAATGTAAAAAACAACCACAATTTTTGTTTTTTTTTAATGTATTTAGCACTAAGCGGTGTTTATGCTTTTAAATGTAAGCATGTCTTTGTATGGAGTATATTTGAGTGAATGTAGGATATGTGTCTGTATGTGGTGTTGGCGTTTGAATGCAGGCATGCATTTTTATGTAGTGTGGTTTTTGAAGGCAGTGGTGTGGTTATATATAATGGTGGAGTTTGTATGTAGTGTTGACGTTGAAATGCAGGGGTGTATTTATGTGTAGTGTTGGTGAGATTCTGAGATGTATGCACATATACACATACACACACCTAAATACACACTGACTCACATGCAGATACATAGACACATAGGAACAATACATAGGGGGTGGGCACATAAGATACCACAATCCAAACTGGGGGGGCACTAAAACTTTTCACTAGGGGATGGGGTAATGTGCTGCCATTGGCTGCCTGATGCCAGCATGCAGTGCACATTGGCATCAGTCAACAAATTTGCATATAATTCACATTAGCCACCCAGATTTCCTGTTCGTGGGCTAGCTGACACCTCTTAACGTCAATCTTTGTTTATCAGATAACTCCCTTATTTGCTATCCTTATGTGGGATTGCCATATTTAAAGACACCAAATAAGGATAAGGGAGCTATCTGCTAAACAGCACCCTGATTTGGTATCTTTAAATATGGAAATCTTACATAAGGACACCAATTAAGAGAATTATCAACTAAGCAGCTAAAATATCAATAAAAAAAAAAAAACCTTTTCTTAATTTCAGTTGTTTAGTAGATAACGCCCTTATTTGTTTTACTTTTGTGGGATTGCAATATCCAAATAAGGAAGCTATGTACCAAACACATACACATTTATATACACACACAATAACACAATAGGTGCCTGTGTGTGTATATCTGTGATTGTGTGTGTATGTGTATACACACACATGTGTGTATGTATGTGATGTTTGCGTGTGTAATTGTATGTGTGTGGGTCTGTGATTGTGTATGTCTGTGTTTATGTGTGTGGTTGTGTGTGTATCTCTATAGTTAAGTGTGTGTGTGTATTTCTGTAGTTAAGTGTGTGTGTGTGTGTGTGTATATGTATATATATATATATATATACACACACACACTTACTACAGAGATACACACACACACACACACACACACACACTTAACTACAGAGATACACACACAACCACACACGTGAACACAGACATACACAATCACAAACCCACACACATACAATTACAAACACACATAATTAGATATACACACGCAAACATCACATACATGCACACATTTAATAATTAAGAGGTCCACCCATCCTCCCTACCTTGCTCTGGAAGGCTAGAGTGGATCCTCAGTCCCTGGAAGTCAGTGGTTGCTGCTGGGATCTCTGTGCTCTTCATGCACACGTCCCTTGCACATCCTGTAACATGACGCCGATGCTTGGATGATGTTATGTGCCGACTCACTGCAATGCGAAGGCAGTCAGATACAGTCAGATGTACACAGTTATACGTATATACTGTCAAATACAGCCACATGCACACCGTACACTTGCACACTGTCAAACGCACAGCTGCAGGTAGACAGTAACACACACAGTTACAGACAGACAGTAACACACACACCGCTACAGGCAGACAGTCACACACACACACACACACACACACACAATTACAGGCAGACTGTAACATAGTTACAGGCAGCACACAGTCACACACACTCAGTGACATGCAGACAGTCACAAACAGTCACAGGCAGACAGTCATACACAGTCCCAGGTAGACAATCACAGGCAGACATTCATACATACAGGCACAGGCAGACAGTCACACACACAGTCACCAAAAGTCAGTCTCACGCACAGTCACAGGAAGACAGTCACACTCAGTCCAGGGTAAACTGTCACAGGCAGACATTCACAGACACAGTCACAGGCAGACATTCACACACACAGTCACAGGAAGACAGCCACTCACAGACATTCACACTCAAACTCACAGATAGTCACGGGCAGACATTCACACACACAGTTTCAGATAGTCACAGGCAGACATTCACACACACAAAGGCAGACAGTCACAAGCAGTCTCACACACACTCTCTCTCTCTCTCTTACTTACTGGTGGAGGAGTGGAGTCAGTGAGTCCCTGGTGTGTTGGAGTTGGGGAAGCAGGGACTCCTTCCTGCTTCCCCTCAGTGTGCTGCAGTGAAAGGCAGCAAATGGAGGCTGGCGGCAGCTCCGCCCCTGCATCCAGTTTGGCTCCGCCTCCATGGCCGAGTTGGCTCCGCCCCAATTCTCCATGAAGTACTTCTGTACTGCTGAATTCCCAGCCCCTGCGTGTGTGAACTGTGTGGCTCCCGGCGCCTTGTGCCAGCCCTGGAGGCACCCCCCTACCTGGTGGCACCCCTCTAACTGGTGGCACCCGGGGCAGACCGCCCCCCACACACTTCCCCCTTAGTACGCCACTGACACAGAGAGAGAAACTCTTAATACCGGTCCTTAGATTGGCTATACAAGCAGAGAATAGTGAAGTAACAAGTTGAGGTCAAAGGAGTAAAGAGAAATGGAACAACGATATGACAAGCCGAGGTCAAGGATCAGAGAAGACAGGATAAGCGGGAGACAAAGCCAAGATTCGGTAACCAAATAATCAGACAGATGACTAAAATCACACCCCAAAACCGGTCTACTTATTAGGCCTGGATGTGGAATGTTTTAAAACAGTGGCCAATACATAGAGGCACAGAGCGGCTGAGAGACACAATCAGGGCAGTAATAACTGGTCTCTGCTCTTTTGCCCCTCTTGTAACACACCCTGCACCTTTTCTGGGGGGGTTTTCTTTTTGGGGGTTGATGGAACCCTGAAGCAGAAGTGACTTTCCTCCATTTTTCTGCTAGGCTCCATTGATGGTCCCCCTCTGTGACACTCAAGCAGCCCAGAAATGAGCTAAAACGTAAATGAAAGAAACGTGCATTTCAGCTCAGCATTTGCCTTTTTAAAAATTACTAAGGCATTGTGGATTGCTGGATTGCTGTCTGCATTATATATATGCCCACTTTTTTTTTTTTTACCATGCCCTGGTCTTTCGCATGATCAAATAATGCTGCATCAGTTGATCAAACAGGTCAACTCCCCCCATATGCCAATTGTAATGTTTTATGCAGACTGGTACCCGTTTAATTTCCCCTCTGCCACAAACTGCGACCTTGCTAGTGCGTTCCCTATGGATGGTGGTTAGGATGAACACCTCCTTTTTATCGCGGTACTTTAGTGCCAGCAGTTCATTCTGGCAGAGAGCTGCTGTTTCCCCCTTTTTTATATATTTTTTCCGCTAGAGCCTTTGGGAAACCTGTGCGAGTCTTCCGAATAGTGCGACAGGCCACGGTCTAAAAGCAGTACAGCATTTTTAGAAGTGGGATACTGTTGTAAAAATGATCAATATATAAGTGATATCCCTTGTTTAGTAACAGCATGATTAGATCCCAGACAATTTTCCCACTTATCCCAACTATATTTGGGCAACCTGGGGGATCGAGGTGGCTATCCCTTCCTTCGTATACACGGATGGTGTACACCTAGCCACTACTACTTTCACACAACTTGTAAATTTTGATCCCATATCGGGATCTTTTGGATCGGATGTTCTGTTTAAACCCATGTCTTCCTTAAACTTCATGAGGGATTCGTCAATAGAAATATGTTTTTTGGGGGTATAAATAGTGGCAATTTTTTTGTTAAAATTGGCAATTAGAGGGCGTATTTTATATACAAAATCATACTGCGGATGACCTTTTGGGAGGCACTTTGTATTATCACTAAAGTGCTTAAATCACAGTATGTCTTCATATCTGGGCCTACTGAAAAATGGGGGTATTGCAAATGGGGTTTTTAGACCAATACATTCTAATGGTGTTTTTTTTCATTATACCCATTAGCATTGTCAGTGCCCAGAATTGTTTCAATTCTGGCACACTTGTTGGGTTCCATCTCTCTTTCCTGGTGATGAGAGACTCTTGATTGTGTGCCAGATACTGCTCAGCATACAGATTACTCTGGGTGACCATCTTCCCAAAAATATCATACACCAAAGAACAGCTGCATACAATCTAGTGCATTATACCCAGGCAAGTCAGCCTGTATGCCAGGATTTGCAGTGCACTGTGGAATGTCTGGTGAAAAATTATTAGGGGGTGCCCAGTCATTTGCACCATGTTCAGCATCAGGGTAATCAGTGGGATTCATCCTGATGGTCTTGCAGTATCTGGCACATAGTCTCTGTCCCCTGCGTCACTCTCTGAGGCAGTGTCTGTCGCCTCTGAGTCGGCCGCTAACAGGGCATAAGCCTCCTCTGCGCTATACTTCCTAAACATTGTGTACTACGGTAATACATTTTAACGAAATAACTAAACTTTCATTTTTTTTCTTTTCACCCCTAACTAGTTTATCACTAAATTCCCCAATTCCCACTAAATTCCACACACCCCAACTAACTAGTACTGTAAAGTACTGTGATCTGTATTTTGATCACTGTTGGCATTGATCAATCAGCAGGGAAAGGGTTAAACAGGGTAAAGGGGATTTGGTACCTCTTCAGACAATTTATTCTCTTCAGGGAAACAATGTAACAACGATCCATCTCCCGAATTCCTACATAACAAAACAAACTGAAAACAAATGATTTAGGAATAAATCGATCCCAGCTTTTTAATTTGTTTTGATAAGGGTAGCAAAATAGGGAATTCTCTATTAAGGTACTGAAACAACAAAATTAAGAAAAGAGCTGTTCATTATTTTTGTTTTTAGCCTGTAAGTAGATGACTTCCTAATTTTGCATCCTTAATGTGGCATTGCCATAATTTAGGCTACCAAATTAGGGAGATGTTGTTCGCTCCTTCATTTAGTATCTTTAAAATGGTAATATCCCACAAGGGTACCATTAGGGAGCTATCTACTAAACAGCTGCATGAAAAATCTTAATAAAGGACATGATGGCTTTTCTAAATTTTAATCTTTCAGCTGTTTAGAAGATAGCTCCCTAATTTCCTGTGTATACCACAAAAATTCTATATTCATTCTGTGTATATTACATACAATCTTTACACATCTACCACATACATTGACTGTTAGCCTCTACCACTTCCACTGGAAGTCTTTGAGAACATGGTTTGCTAAATATTTAATATAAATTAAAAAACAAAACAAAACCGAATGTCTCAAGTAAAAAGGTTAGCAGATGTTATAGGGGATTTTCAATGTTTTATTTAGATGTTGCAGTTCAATTTTAAGTCATTAATAGCCCACTGTTATTCTATTATTGTAAGGGAATTTCTAATTTAGTATATGCCCTTGTAAACATGGTAACAAAATTATCCTAATAAACATCTTTACAAAAACTCAACATTTGTAATTGCGCCATCTAAATACAAACTGGAATAGTGAGTAATATGTTAAAATTCCAGTGGGGAGCAAGTATTGGAGTTTATAAAAGTACCTCATACATGTCCAGGTGCCTGTTAGATTAAAATGCCCTTATTGAATTTATTTTTTATTTTTTTTGGTATTTTTACAGGCAATTGGAGGAGAGAACACAGTTGAATCTGTGAAACTTACTTGCCTGGATATGTATAATAACTTAATGCCCCCCCTCCCCCCCCCAGCCACATGCTAATTATGCACAAAAGAGAATAGGATGCCTCTCATAACAATATCCTGTAGTTTGCAAAATCTAACCGGGCTTATATTTCGCAATTACAATGTTATAATTACTGTATATTCTTCAATGCACTTTGAGGACCTTAACATAATTCCCTGAAATGACAGTTTTCGTCACGATCTGCTGTATTACTTTAGTAGCCTGTAGTCATTTCCTCTTTGACTAAAAGTGGAAAACTGAGGCCTAAAAAAAGAGAGGAACTCGAACGGGGGAGTAGTAAAGAGGAAGTATGTGCAACATGGGGAAGGAAATAAAATGTAAATTTATGCACATTTGAAAAGTGTCTGACTTACAATAAATCTCCCTTATAAAAGCTTGATAATTTTCTCATGGATGTTTAAAGAAGCACTCCACTACAACCTAGAAAAAAATATTTTTTTAAATCACTGTTTAGTAGATATACCACAAATGCATACGTACATCAATTTTCATGCATGTATTCATTGGGGGTATATTTTAAAAGAGTGTTCAA